ATTGGCAATACCTTAATATCTGTTTTATCGTCTGTGGTTTTACTCCATCTTAAAATATAGTACAATATACCAAAAATAAATCAATACTGCTTTTCTGTCAACAAATGTGGCTATCATTTTGACCTAGGAAGAAGGAAGTTTTTTTATGTACTTCAATCCCGGAAAAACAACTGATGGTGTTACCGATAGATCTTCGAGTTAAGATTATTGATTAAACGACATATAGGTTACGAGTTTCACATATGAAGTTTTCATCGATTTATATCAAAAATAAATCTGATAATGCAGACGATAAGGACCACTTTTATATTATCGTATAGAAAAAAAAAACACCAATAGAATCTATAACCATATCCCCCATATCTTAAGAAGATCTAGCTATATAGGTATATGTAGCGTATACCAGTCTAAAATCCATTTGTTTTGGGTTAACTATATTTTTTTCGGTAATCAACAAACCACAGCTAACAAAAAAAATAGTATTATAAGTAGTAATTGGCCGGTATTTCACCTTTATTGTTCAATATATATGTATCAAACGAGAATGTTAAGATTTCTGATTGACAGATAGTTATGTAAATAGTTGGGTAGGTGGTAGATGGGTAGGTAGGAATGCAATATATTTTGATTTAGGGGTAAAGGTAGGGATGCAAGATATTTTGATTGAGGGTAAATACTTAAATAGAATACAACTGTATATAAAGTGCGGATCCTGAAATACCATTTTCACTGTATATGCCATAAATTTCTTATGTAGAATGATAAATAAACAGAGGAAAAATTGCTGATTTTGGAATGAAATAATAAATGATATATCAAATGGATTGTTTTAATAAACTCATGATACAGGTAAGAGATGCAGACGGGTTTATATCGCACATACAGCGATCCAGGTGTGAAATCGTTACACAAATAGGTAAATATTAAGAATATTTCACGAACAGAGCATGCAGGAGATTTAAAAGCGGCAGTAAAATTTTATTCTTAGAAAAATATATCTTTTTACATAATCCTTAATGTTGTATAACTTTAAACAGGTTTTGTTATTCAGTTTGTTGTTATTGAGTTAAATTTCACTATGCTGCTTTCGTTATGCGATTCATGTTTACTATTGAATAATGATACAATACTTTCATTGTCACTGTAGTGGTGATTCATTTCTCGTGTATATGCGGTGCATTCACAGTAGGAATCTTTTTCATTTTCATCAAATAGAGTGTTGATTCAGCCGACTCGCTGACAAACTAAATAAAGTCAAAAGGATAATATATTGCTTACTTTGAGAGTGAAAGTCCAACGAATTACAAAAATGAGTTCCTTAAAAATAAGAGCATTTATTGCTGAAAATATTCAATTCAATTTGTTTTAACAATTCGTAAGGATATATATGCGAAGGGTTAAATATATCCATTCCAATCACATTGCATCATTGAATACATATACCTTGCACAGTTAAGCACATTAACAGTCACCGAAAACTATGCTTAAGTTTTGGGTTTCGGTCTATTTTTTTGTACTATACATCACATACTAATGAAATGCCATTAATGAATGCATCTTGGATAATAAAGAGCGTTCAAACAACGACATTCATTTTACACATGAGTGACAGGTTACGTTTTCAGTTTATGTTTCATCTAAGGAGCTAGACATCACGTATCAATTCAACTTCATCAGTGTGTATATCTTGGACATAAACAGAATAGGCAAATTTGAAATTGTAATGACACATTAAGAACAGATTATTGCTACAAGTTTTAATGGTTCTAGTATATCACTGGTATCTCTACCTTACAGTTGAATTTGCACGTTGCTCTGTAGCGAAGCGAAGTTGGTAGATATAACGTCTAAATATTTTTCATCAAAGACTTATGGCCGTAACAGTAGGTATAACATGTTTAGGAAAACAAAGTTTACTGTTTCCTGACAGCATTGTTTATTTTGCATAATACATGAACACCCATTAATAGTTTAAACAACAACAAAAATCAATAAACGCACGGTCACATTTAGTTTTCGAGTCAACATACCATGCCTTTATTTATAGTTAAAACAAGCTTCGCAATGTTTAACAAGTAATCTATACACACGTCTATTTTAAAAAGTCACAACGAATGAGAAACCCGTTGTTATATATCCTGTAATGTTTCGTTGTCTTAATAGTGTTTTTATTTACTACCGTTCGTTGCAAATTCTTGTACTGTTCGTTGTGCATTTGGCAGCTCAAAGACGATCAATATAGTAAAAATATGTATATAAAATATTAATACTGCTTGACAACTTTTTATTTAATCAAGTACTACAACTTTTTACGGAAAATTCGCCATAAAAATACGTTGCAATCATGAATTTTCTACCCCCGAATATTTTCGAATCCCTGACACAATAATAGCAAACTCAGGGCGATGTGTAGCATATCATCAAGACCTTCGTGTGACCTTTACCTCAAGACCAAAATACTAGATTTTTAAAGTTGTTTTTGCGAAATCTCGTAGAAACTGCATTGCAATCAGGTGCTCCCGATGAGTGGGATCCAATTAGTCCCACATTAAACATACACAGAATTCAGGTGCTTTAATTTTCAATATGAAATGTTAGAAATGTCAAATAGTTAAGTCGTTACAAAGAGTAAAAGATTGATATTTCAAAGGAGATAGCATATGTTCTTCTCCATATGATTAGCAACGAAGGGTACAGTACTAATATGAAAACGCGCAACGAACGGCACAGCACTGTAACGAAAACGCACAACGAACGATACAGTAGAAACAATTTCATAAACTGATGACTATTTTAGAAAATCATAATAGTTACAATGAACTAGGTATGTGGGATATATTCTGGAGGAAGCTACGCTCAATAACCTGCACATATATCAGTTGTTATTTAAAGTTATTATGGTACCCTCAACGGAGTTGGGGTGACATATTGTTATTGTTCGTTTCTTTTTTTCTTATTTTTATTCTTCCACACTTTTTGTCAACGGCAGTTCTCGTTATTGGATGGACCAATCTTGATGAAACTATGCTATAATGTTGACCACCATATAAAGTTGTGCACCTGACTTTGGAATGTTCAAGATGTCTACGGTTACCATGGAAACTAAAAAAATATAAAAAAAAATCAAAATTCTAACTCTTTCGTTATAAGAGCCAACCTAATGAAACTTTGTGCAAATGTTGGTGGTGGTGCCCCGAAGTACCAACAGTACTTAGAAATTCCAAAATGGCTGCCATTGCCATGGAAACAGGAGAAACGTTTAACATTGACCCTATGGGAAAACACATAAAAGCTGTATTTTCTTTTAGAATTTTCTATGAAACCGAATGAAACTTTATGAATATGTACCATGGCATATGTCAATGCCTCATCTGTCTTTGGAATTTTGGAAATGCTCTTCGTTACCATGGAAACAGCCAAAATTTCAAAAATTTCAAAATACTCCAAATTTTTCTAAAAATTTACAGGAATGTTACCTGCCATGTCAGGAAATGATATTTGATTTTGGAATTTTCAAAGTGGCTGCAGTTTAGTGGCAATGTGGGATGGGTGCCATCCGCTATTGCTTGCAATGGCAAATCTAGTTTAATGTTTACATTTTTGAAGCATTTTAAGCGAGTTATTGTGACCAGGGTTTGTAAACATATGTGCGTTTATCATTCAGTAAGTATAGTTCGAGTTAAAATTGGAATTCTTTGATTAAAATTGATGACTTAACATGCATACAACGTGTATGATATATTTTTGTATACAAACTGTGTGCATAACTCAGGATATTTTTGATATCATATATCGGCTTCTCTCAGCTTTTTCTGTATCGCTTAAAACGCACACCGCCCGCAATCAACTGTACTGTAGCCAATCATGTACGATAAGTTTGATTTTTAAATTGTAAATATCATCAATATTCAATTCATCATATGAATATCGTCAGTTTTTGCAAGCCCAATTTTCACATAAAACCACATTGAAAATCCATCGTACCTAAATAAATCCCACATCAGAAATGATCGCACGTACAATGATAATGCATCGTATCAAATGTCAAAATGAATCGCTTTCAATAACTTTATTTAAGATTGTGTTGATTAAATAACATTTTTTTTGGACTTAGATCATGTTATTGTACATTGTAAAGTCATATTCTAATGAAATTGTGTTAAAAAATACATTAAAATCAATTATTTTGTAATTTCAAAACATAAACAAACACAGTTTTCCCCATCATCTTTTATTCTACAATAGAAATACTCGCATATGACAGTGAAAATGAACTATCTGGATTCGCACTTTATATACACTGGAATAGATATGGAACTAAAGAAAACTATCGAACATGTCTATGTGAAAAGATTGATATGGTCGGTTACTATGTAACCAAATATTCTTATTCTTCAAATGTTATCATAAGAATACGAAAATGAAGATCATAATTATGCCTCCGCCGTCATCGGAGAAGTAATACAAGTGTTACCCTTGTCCGTCCGTACGTCCCAAAATTGGTTTCCGTTTTCTAACTTTTGTCTGCCTCTACCAAATGTTATGAAACTTATACACAATGCTTATTACCACAAAACACAGATCAAGTTCGAATTTGGGTGGTTTGGGTGGCGTCACTTTTACCATTCTCGAGTTATGCCCCTTTATTACGTTATATGCAAGCGGAGGCGTCATCTGTGTCCCATTGACACATTCTCCATTTATTTTTTCTCTAAATTTCCCTGGTTTTTTTTAAACAACGAATCGTTAAGGGTTGGTCAAATTTTCAAATGGTGAATTACAATAAAAGAGGATGGGTTCAAGCACCTGAATAATCAGTTCCGACCCAATTACACGTTAATTATTGAAAGTGGTTATTTCCTTTCTGGTCTATAGCAAGTGGGTAATAATCTTATGGTTTGAAGTATTGCCAATTTCTTTTTCCTCTTTTTCCGGAGCATCATAGATATATAAAGTCCAAACATATTTCCGGTATATACTTCATTACTTTATTTGTTCTCAAACGTTGAAAAGGCAATCATATCTAAAGCGTAATTATATTCGAAACTGCCATACAGTCAGATACTGTAGATCATGAAAGAGGTGAAAGATTTATACCGATAACCGCTACATTCATCTTCTTTTTTTAGGGCTGTGACATTGTGATTTTCATGTGACAAGTATTACGTCGATGACTCTATTTTTTTCTATATTTTGTTTGATGTTCATATTTACAATATTATGAGGTCTGAAAATAACTAAAGAAGTTTTAAAACCGTTGACAGTATTTTTTATGCATTTGTGATATTTGTGGTTTAGTGGTTAAAAGATATTTGAACTCATAAACATAAAGCAATTGCTCATTTTTCTATCTAATACGTAAACTGTAATCAGTAGGATGAAAAAAGGCCAATTGCTAGAAGAACTGAATCACGAAGAAGCAAAGCAATATGTTGGTGGAATTATATTTGTTACAATTATCATGATCATCGGAATAATCGGTAACCTGCACGTGCTCTTTGTCTATACATTCCGAATGAAACCTTCAAATCATCGAATATTTATCTTATCGTTGGCTGTGTTAGATATGATAACTTGTACCGTCGGTATGCCTTTCATTATTGTTGATCTTAGAAATCCGTTGACATTCACGATGATATCAGCCTGCAAAGTCCTACGATTCGTCAACTATTTCATCTGTATATCATCAGCCTTGATCTTAACAATCATTGCCATAGACAGGTATGTTATGTCTTATGCTTACAAAAAGTGTATTTTTTTTAAATGTATTGTATAATTGTATTTTTGTACTTGTTACAGCTGAAGTACATGTCATCGTATGAACTATTTCATTTCTTATTAACGTGTACTTCCTGAAATAAGGGTCAATTTAGTTTTCATTCTGTAAATCAATTTACACTATAATTCATATGGGAAAATTTGTGAAAACAAGAACAGGAAAGTATAAAATATATCGTGCCAAAAACGCCTCTAATTTGGAAAACAAATTCACTGTTGTATAACTAATGAAAAATTTATAACAAAGTTAGTTTAAGATAGGTGTTTACATTTAGATTGACAAGAAAACGTAGTAATGTTAAATTCATTCAAACATGTTAGCTTTCGGTAAAATAACGAGGATGTTAAGTTATGTTAACATATTTTACCTTAGCCGAATTTCATGTACATATATAAATAGAATGAATGTTGAACTTAACGGCTTAATATAAAGATTAGGAGATGTGGTATGATTGCCAATGAGACAACTCTTCGCCAGAGACCAAATGACATAGAAGTTTAAAACTATGATTCATCGTACGGCTTCAGCAATGAGCAAAACCTATAACGCATAGCCAGATATAAAAGGCCCTGAAATGACAAATGTAAAACAATTCAAACGAGAAAACTAACGGCCTGATTTATGTACAAAACAATGAACGAAAAACAAATATGATATACAGCAATAAACGACAACCACTGGATTACAGACTCCTGACTTCGGACAGGCAAATACAGAATGTGGCGGGATTAAACTAGTTTGTTGGCACCAAACCCTCCCTCTAACCTGGGTCAGTGGTTTAACGGTACAACATAAGAACAAACTGTAAAAATCAGTTGAAAAGGGCTTAACTCATCAGATAGATACAAAGAAGAAAAACACCTCTTACCAAAAACACAGACCGGACGTGGCAGGGTATTTATACATTCCCACAACAAAAAAAGACACCCAAGTACAGATCTGAAGGTACTCGCAGTTACCTACAGCTGGTTCAAAGTCAATAACAACTAATAAAAAATTATGCATCTAAGACTTAAGTCTACAAATACTTTGGTATATATTGACATTTTTCATATACTAGCACATATACTATTTGAATAAATAAAAAGTTGACTTATAAATTTTCCTTTATAAATACTCCAAATTTTGAAAAATGTTTAAAATCTATATTAAAGCCTCAGATAAAATCTGTTATTTTTTACAGCCTCTTATGAATTGGTATTGATTTGTGTCTTTCTATTATTTTCTAGATATAGAAAGATATGTGTTCCTCTTGGAAAGCAGATTTCAAGGCGAATAGCGAAAATATTGATCTTGGTTTGTCTTGGTATATCCATGGTTCTATCCTGGCCAGCGCCAGCACTGTATGGACATAGTTCTATTAACACTACGAACCCAAACATTACGGGAGTCCGATGCTTTACTGAAGATAAATTCAAGAACACTAAGTTCCAAGCTTATTTCAACGCAGTTTTGATTTTAGTTGTATTTGGGGTCTTTGGTATACTACTAGTGATGTACAGTCTTATTGGAAGGGTTATATCTAAACATACGACATTTAAAAGTTCAGTTCCAGGTGGAACAAGTTCAGATACTTCCAAAAGTAAAATAACAGTTTCAACAGATGCAAGTTCTGAAGACAAGCCTTCTGGTTTTAAAGGAGAAAATATGTTGAAAAACATAAAAACAGTCTGTTCAAAGGAAAAAGTAATAATAGACATTCCAATGGCTTCAACAGATTCTTCATCTAGTGCCGGCACAAAACATAAACTTAAAGCGAAGAAACATGAGAAGTCTAAGTTTGATAGAGCTAAACGAACAACTTTTATGTTTTTTCTCATCACTGCATTTTTCTTTATAAGTTATTTCCCTCATTTAACTCTTAAGATATTAGCATTTGTTAAAACAGGATTTGTGTCTAATATGTCATTCAGTGGGAAAATACTTTACAATACATTCGTTTGGTGCTTTTTCATCAACAACATGTCAAATTGTTTTGTTTACGGATTTTGTGACACCCGATTTAGAACAGAGGTGAAGAAAATATACAACACACTTTTTTGCCGAAAGAGATGAAACAAATCAGACGCTGATATTGAATAATCTTTTGCGTCCTATTAAATTCTTTGAAAATCTTTTGTCTAGAATTTTGTTAAAACATGTTTTGAAAAGTGAATATTGTCACTGTCTGCTGTAAATTTTGTTCATCAGGTATGTTGATAGAAAATCACCACGAACTCCTATACCTTACACGTTTGGAAATCCACAAAGATATTTAAAAAACATTTGGTTCAACAACAACAACAACAACAAGAAAAAACAAACACAGAAGACCCTAACAGAACCTGCGAAATTCATCTAAGATCAATAATGCCCTAGATAATTTGAACATCTGATTAAGTAAATATTGCAAAATTTTATTTTATACAAAACAAGGAGGTGCGGAATGATTTCCAACGAGACAACTATTCACCATAGTTCAAATCACGAAGATAAAAGCAACTCTATGCCACCGTATAAGGCCTTCAACAATGAGAAAAAAAACTATACCGTATTGTCGGCTATAAAAGCCCGCGACAAGAAACGTGAAACAATTCAAAAGAGAAAATTAACGATCTAATTCATACAATACAATTTACTAAAAACAAATATGACGGACATGATTCAACGTGAATCGCTAAATTACAGGCTCCTGACTTGGGGCAGGCATATATGTATACATATAAAAATGTTCATAAACTTGCGCAAAAGTTTAATACAAATAAAATTAAAATTTGTAAAATGCCTATATTGAGAGAGAGAGAGAGAGAGAGAGAGAGAGAGAGAGAGAGAGAGAGAGAGTATCATATGGCTTTTTCAATATCACATCCGTATCAACTCGAGACACCAATATAATCCCAAGAGCTCTGCTCGAGGGATTATATTGGTTGAGGGTTGATACGGTGTGTGATATTGAAAAAGCCATATCATATACACTTTATTATATACCTCAAGTAGATGTTTTTCTTGTGATATGACGTTACGCAGATTAGGAGTTTGATAAAGCCTTTGCAACAGTGACTGATATCGATGACGTGACGTCATGCATATTAGGGGTGTGATAAAGGCTTTGCAACCGTGACTGATTTCGATATCATCACGATAGCTGATACAGCACGATTGCTATTGGTCGTATTACACGTACAATTTAACTTGTATCAAATAGTAAGTATACAATAAATATAGTTATCTTTTAATTTATGAAAAATAAAATCAATATTATTACCGATAAAAAAACAATATTTAAAGATTTTTCTACCGTGTTAAATTAATAACCTTTAAAAATAAATCTTCTCAAAAGATCAATGAGTTTAAATGCATCGAATCTAAATTTACGGTCTTTATAAACAACGTCATCGAATAAATTAGGATTGATATCACGTTGGTTTAGAATAAAAATTCTACAGGTTTCGCCAAACTTCCTAACTAACTCTTTGTATCTACTAAAGAATTTAGTAAACGTTTTAGTTCATTAGTGGTAACGACTTAATAATTGTCTTTTAGGATATTTTATTCAGCGCGTAAAAGTTTTTATGGTTTTGAATTTTCTCGAGCATCTATGAAGAGACATTCATTGTCGTGATGCGACACCCATATGGTGCAACAACATTGGTACTCTTCAATGTTATCTTACGAAATATTATATATGAATTCAAATAAATTAACTTAACACTTGTAGGTCATTATACTTGACACAAAATGGATAAATATGGTTAAATCTCACTTTTATCGTTCTGAATTGAGAACTACTAAATAAAAGATCGAAAAACATTCTTTTATATTCAAATCCGGAAGTTTGCTGATTATATATGCCATACTACATGTACTAAGGCGACGGCTATTACTTGTTTATATTAGAGAAATATGTTTAAACGTACAATTAAATTGATTTTTAAAGAAGGAAGTTTTCACAAACATACAAAAGAATTATTTAGACGTACATGTACAATGTATGTGTTCTCATGTATTAATATGGAAAACCCGTATGCTAATATTAAATTTGTAAGCTTGTTTAATGCATCCTATGACTTAAGGTTTTCCGTCAAGTTTCAGGATACAGCATGCGTGATATATTATTAAACTATAAAACCTTTACCTGTGTATTGACAAAAATTCTCATTTAAAGTATACTACAATCATGTTCTTGTACGTTTTCCTTACCGATGTTGATTTATAACTATTTTTATTTGCTTTAAAAACTCAAGAGTAAATTTAAAAGATTTTCAGAGGACAAATATTTCTAATTTGGAAGTCTTATAACTTTCTGATTAGAATTCCGCTTGAAAATGGATAACAAAGGACTTGAAGAATTAAATAATGAAGAGGCGAAGCAATACATTGGTGGAATTATATTTGTTACAATTATCATGATCATCGGAGTAATTGGCAACCTGCACGTGCTTTTTGTCTATACATTCCGAATGAAACCTTCAAATCATCGAATATTCATCTTATCATTAGCTGTCTTAGATATGATAACATGTATCATCGGTATGCCTTTCATTATTGTTGATCTGAGAAATCCGTTGACATTCACGATGAAATCAGCCTGCAAAGTCCTACGATTCGTCAACTATTTCATCTGTATATCATCAGCCTTAATCTTAACGATTATTGCTATAGATAGGTACGTAAATACATATTTATAAGCAGGCAAATTCGACTTCCTTATTGTATTCTTTGAATATTTAGATTGTCTTTATTTGTATATAATCACTTTGCATTGATGTTTTGTCAGACAGTTGTCACGCGTTGTATTGTTCAACATAGAGATAAAGTTTACCTTTATAGTAGATTTCCCCATTTCACTAAGGCAATCATGATAGAAAGCACACACAAACCATGCAATTGCTATTATTATTATATAATATATGCTGACCATTACATATATAAGATAAATCTATATTGTCAAATGTAGACTTTGTTTTTGGCTTTGAACTAGCTGTCAGTAACTACGAGTACTCTCAGATCTGTACTATGTATAGTTTCTTTTCCACGTCCGGTCTGTGTTTTTGATAGTTGTTATTCTGTTTTATTTATCGAGCTGATAATTTACGTCCTTTTCAACCGATTTTTGTCGAGCCTGCGACTTCTGTCGCAGAAAGCTATAGGGATAGTGACCCGGCGGCTTTTAACTACTTAAAAGCTTTATATTTTAGAAGGTGGAAGACCTGGATGCTTCATACTTTGTATATAGATGCCTTACATTATGAAGTTTCCGTCTGTCATATGTCTATTGTTCTTGACCTCATTTTAATGGCTCGGTGACTACTTGAAAAAAAGTGTTTTGTAATGTTGATTTCTCTCTTATTATGAGTAATAGGATAACTATATTTAGTAAATGCGTACCTTGCAAGATCCTTATGCCTGTCAGACAGTTTTCATCTGACCGCGACCTCATTTCATGGATCAGTGAACAAGGTAAATTTTTCGTGGTCATGTCCATATATTAGATACAATAAGCAATAGGTCTACTATATTTGGTGCATTGAATGATTGTAAGGTGTACATGTCCAACTGGCAGGTGTCATCTGTCCTTGACCTCATTTTCATAGTTCAGTGGTTAAAGTTAAGTTTTTGTGTTTTGGTCTTTTTTTCTAATACTATATGCAATAGGTCAACTATATTTGGTGTATGGAAATGTTTTACGATGTACATGTCAGTCTGGCAGATTTTATTTGACCTTGACCTCATTTTCATGGTTCATTGCTCAGTGATAAGTATTTGTGTTTTGGTCTGTTTTTCTTAAACTATAAGCAATAGGTTAACTATATTTGGTGTATGGAATGATTGTAAGGTGTAAACGTTTTTCCAGTTTAGTTTATCTGACTTTGACCTCATTTTCTTGGCCCATGTTAAGTTTATGTGATACTTATAGTAAAGCTATCAACATAAAATTAATGGTCAGTAAAGCAGGCGAGACATTTAAGCGTGTGTACTCTTGTTATTGTATGTTTTTATGTTCTACTGTTACACCACTGTCCCAGGTAAGGGTAGGATTTGGCGCCAGCAAACATGTTTAAACCCGACACATTCTTTATGTGCCTGTCAGGAGCCAGTATTTCAATGACTGTCGTTGGTCCGTGTCTGTCATGTTTATTTTTCGTAAATTGCTTAGTCATGAATTAGGCCTTTTTCTCAATTGAATTGTTTTACATTTTCATGTCGGGACCTTTTAAAGCCGACTATACCGTATAGTTTTTCCCATTGTTGAAGGCCGTATTGTTGCCTGTAATTGTTTACATCAACTTCAATTGAACTTTGATGGATACTTGTCTCATTTGCAATCATACCAAATCTCCTTATTTTTATATGAATACACTTATTAGGGTGTAGTAATTGCTCCCAGAAATTCAACATTCTAAGTTCTGCGGATATCTCCCACTTTCCCCATAAACCGTATAATTAATTTTACTAGTAAAGACACTTTCGATCTTTTTGATAAATTGCAAGTTCACTTTATTAATATCCTTCATATTTTCGAATCCCTAAAGATCAGAGGTAAATAGCAAAATAGGCGATACAAAACAGTAAAATAATTTTAATTGATAATCTACTGAAATGATCAAATATCTAGTTCGTGATTTATGTGTTTGCTGCTCTTTATTCGAGAACAAATCCAGGCACTGAATACCGCTATGCTAACAGCTCGCTAAGTAATTAATTTGGAGAGAGTGCTGTATTAAGTGTTGGATATTGTATTTTGGACACGGAATGATTTATACTATGTATTAAAGCTAGTTTTCACAATAGAGACACTTTAGTATGAATAATTATTAAAGTGAAAGAAAACCTCTTATGACACATTTTACGTTAATTCTTTATATATATTTCTGTGATTGCATCTTATGATCATTTACGACAGATAATTTAGCTAATCTGCAATCAATTCCATCTTCATGCCTAATATATCATGTACTGTGTTACAACTCTAGATTCTACTGACGAGGAAAGCTAACACTAGGCCACCGAAAGCTGAATTTTTAGTTCAGTCTAGGTGGCCGAATGGTCTAGAGCGCTGAATTGTTTACATTTTCATGTCGGGGCCTTTAAAGCCGACTATATTATTACCGTATGGTTTTTCCCATTGTTGAAGGCCGTATTGTTGCCAATAATTGCTTACATCAACTTTATTTGAACTTTGATGGATACTTGTCTCATTTGCAATCATACCACATCTCCTTATTTTTATATGAATACACTTGTAAGGGTGTAGTAATTACTCCAAGAAATTCAACATTCTAAGTTCTGCAGATATCTCCCACTTTACCCATAAACCATTTAATTCATTTATATATATATTTTATTAATTGTATCTCTGTAAGTATAGTTTTTAAATATTCATATGCAGTCCTAAGGGTTCAAGTTTGCGTTATATGTTTTTCATAAAAATCCGAAATATCGCCCAATTTCATATACTTTGCTTTAGAAAGTTTTTTCTCCATTAAAAGTTTTAAATGAAATTAGCGATTCAAAGTGTTTTGCTGACTCTTCTTTCTTTTTATTTTCAGATATCGTAAGATATGCGTTCCTCTTGGAAAGCAGATTTCAAGACAAAAAGCAAAAATTCTTATTGTAGTTTGCATTGGCATATCATTAGTTCTATCTTGGCCGGCGCCAGTATTGTATGGACATAGTTCTGTCAACACGACTAATCCTAACATTACAGGAATCCGTTGCTATACGGATGACAAGTTCAAAAACTCAAAATATCAATCTTATTTTAATGCTGTATTGATTATGCTTGTCTTTGGCTTCCTTGCAGTGTTAGTGGTAATTTATTGCCGTATTGGTAGAGTAGTTTCAAAACATAATACTTTTAAAAGTTCTGTCCCAAAAGCAACAAGTTCAGACATTTCAAAGGGCAAAATAACAGTTTCGACGGACTTGAGTTCTGAAAACAAAGCCTCGAAACATTCAAAAGAAGGAAAAATGATGAACAACATAAACTGTATAAATAACAAAGGAATAACAGTGCCTTGTACAGATTCTGTTATGAGTGCCAATTTAGAGCAAAATCATACCAAAAAGAAACAGCATGGAAAATCAAAGTTTAATCGCGCTAAACGAACGACTTTTATGTTTTTCCTAATAACATCTTTTTTCTTCATTAGTTACACTCCTCATCTTATTCTAAAGATATTAGCATTTGTAAAGACGGGGTTTGTTACTAATATGTCATTTACTGGTCAAGTTTTCTACAATACTTTTGTTTGGTGTTTCTTTATCAATAACATGGCAAATTGTTTCATTTATGGATTTTGTGACGTTCGATTTAGAACAGAGGTAAAGAACTTGTACAATACAATTCTTTGTAGGAATATTGAAAAGGTTTGAACTTTATCCTGCAGAGTATTTAAATTTTTTTATCGAGTTTATAATTATATAAGTTGATAAAGAAACATTCATTAAAACAGTTATAGAATTGACACTTGGTATCTTGTTCAATTAAAACAGTTATAAGATTGACACTTGGTCTCTTATTCAATTAAAACAGTTATAAAATTGACACTTGGTCTCTTATTCAATTAAAACAGTTATAAAATTGACACTTGGTCTCTTATTCAATTAAAACAGTTATAAAATTGACACTTGGTCTCTTATTCAATTAAAACAGTTATATAATTGACACTTGGTCTCTTATTCAATTATGTAAAAAAGAAAGGTGGACATAAATGGTGAGACAGGAGAAAAAAAAATATTTGTCAAATTGATACTTAGACTTGTTTTCGTTTTGTTTAGTTTAGACACTTTTTCATATCTTATTCCGATACTTAATATTACAGAGTGAAAACAATGTTTGAACAATTGTATTATAGACTCCCTGATTATTCGGTGTTTAAAACCGTAAAAAATACAAATTTAAATTTATATACTAACTAAAAACCGTCTACTTCTCATAATGATTGCACATCTGTAGATTTAAACTAGCTATCACGCGTCATATAGACCACCGAACTTCAGAGCAGATCACCGCACTTCAGCGTGACCATCCCACATCAGCGTCCTCATTGTATCTCCAAGTTCTACATATATATATATAAATAACTATATGAGGGTTTTTCTCGTTCACTTAATGGTAAAAAAAAATTGAAAATAAATCGGAATGACCTTTCTCTCGCAGAAAGTGTGATCAGCACTAGCAGTTAAATTCCAATAAGATCATCTGTTAAGTTTTATACTACAACCAACACAGCTATTGATGACTTCATTTTTGCCATTAAATTTTGATACCTTTGCTCCAATAGCTTTAATGCATGAAAACATTCATGGTAGGAAACAAAAGCCCTGGAATATCGTATCAATTGAGTGATATATCCATCCATTCACTAAAACATACTACATGTATTGATTGACGTATCGACTACAAATTATTAACAACAGCTCAACTGACTATAAGGCAACGAAATTTGAACTAGCTTTCGTAACTGCTAGTACTCTTATATCGGTTCTTTGAGTCTTTTGTTAGTTGATCTTTGTGCTTCATGCCGATCTGATGAGTCGAGCTTATTCCAACTGATTTTTACAGTTCGTTCTTATGGTACATTGTAGGCTGGTACACAAATGTTAAACGTTAGGAGAGAGTTGAGGGTTTGCAAACATTTTCAATCCAACCCGTTTTGTATATATCTGTCCCAAGTTTGGAGCTTGTAATTCAGTGGTTGTCGTTACTTTCTGTCTTGTCATAAATCAGGCCGTTGATTTTCTTGTATGAATTGGTTTACATTTTGTCATGTCGGGTCGTTTTAAAGCTTTCTAAACGGTATGGGTTTGGCTCATTATTGAAGACCAAATTAATTTGTTTTAACTATGTGCAAAAATAAAGAATGGTTATTCAGACCATTGTAATACTTTTTATATTGATACTTTTGTACGCCAGATATTGATTTGATTGCAAATGAGACAACTACCAGATAACAAATGATTTGGATGTAAAAAACTAAAGGTCACCTGAAGGGCTTCAATAATGAGCAAATCCCATACAAAATAGATAGCTAGTAAAGGACCGAAAATATAATAATACCGGTATGTAAATTGCTAATAGGTTCTTCACCCAATTTGCATAGATAAGATATCCTGAAGTGTAAAAAGTGTTCGGTGTTGAAATTCTTTTATAATGCAGGCGTCACACTGTCCCGAAATTGACACCAGACGAACACACGGTAAGGGAAATGATCCAATTTGGTGTGATGGTTAAAACATCGGGCCATTCGTGACCGCCGGTTGAGTATTCATGCTTCGGCAGCAACTTTGTGAACGGTGGCAAAAAATTTCCGAAAGACCTTGCGAAGGTTAATTTTCGTGTTGAATTCGTAAGACCATCGTGAGGGCATCTTGTTAAATCGTGTCATCTTCGTCTTTACTTCGTTTGATAATCGGTGCGATCGGACATTTTCGCCTCACGAAGACAATACAGAGGAAACAAGAAGCAGTCCGATTGTCTATGGGAGGCAACACGACTACGCAAATCCCTCGCAATGCCGTCGCGTAGCCATCGTATTATAGAATCACGGTGTCGGCGAAGACAGCAAAATTTGAGTAGCTCAAGCGTTTCACATGAGTCATGGTAACGTGAACATATATAAAAGGCCAGCCTCAGAGCATCTTCCTCAGACAGTTCTGAGCAACTCTACAGAACAGAGGCGTGTGTAACTCCTAAAGCTTCAATCACAATTATTCACAATTCAGTTCCTGCAGAATGGCATACTTTGATGATGAGACAATTAGGATAAAGAAGGCGTCATATGTTTTTCATATCTTGCTATTTTCCTTTTTAATATTCGACAATGTCCGTATCCTGTTTTGCTTTTAACTTTCCAGTGCAGGGAAAAACTGAGGCGAAGGAGGAAACCGAGGTCAATGTAGGTCAGAAAATGGCTGTCTGGCAAAAGAAGAGAACGCTATGGCCACAATAGCACTCTAATAAAGAAGCTGAACACAGAAGATGAGAAATCATTCTACCACTACACAAGACGCGTCTACGCTGAGGTCCTGTGAAGGTTATAAGGAAGAATGACACATGGTACAAACAGTCTCTCCCTCCTCGTCTCAAGCTGTCCATCACTCTACGACACCTTGCGTTGACAATTATCCAAGCCTGTCCTTCAACTTCAGAGTTGCTCCAAACACCATCTCCCTTATCATCAATGATGTCTTTGATGCCATCAAAGTCGAGTTTGCTGTTGAGGTGATCTAGTGTCCTACTACAACTGAGGAGTGGACCGCCATTGCTGAGCAGTTTGAGAAGAAATGAAATATCCACACTGCTGTGATGCACTGGATGGCAAGCATGCTTCGGTCCCTGTTCTTGGAATACTGGCTATGTGTACAGAAACTACAAGGCTTCTTCTACATTGTTCTCATGGCCCTTGTCGACGCAAACTACAAGTTTATCTGGTTTGATGTCGGCTCTGATGGTTCCAGGAACGATGCCAGTATCTACAAAGGGTCAGAACTGAAGGCAGGCCTGGAAAGTCCGAACAACATATGCAATCTCATTGAAGAGAAGTCTCTACCTGGTGATGACGTTCCTGTCCCATACTACATCGTAGGGGGGAATGCTTTTGGGATCAAAAAGTGCCTGATGAACCCGTTTTCCATTAGAAAAAATGGAGCACCATGAGAAAATATTTAACTATAAGACTCTCAAGAGCAAGGCATGTAGTGGAGCATGCCTTTGTATTCTTGCATGCACGTTCCAAGTTTTGCCGAGGACCATAAGCCAGAGGCCAGAAACATACAAAAAAATCATCACAACTTGTGTGATCCTTAAAATTTCATCAGACAGAGATATCCAGCCACTGACAAAAACCTGATGGACTTGGAGGACCAGAACCAGAATGTCATCCAAGGGGCATGGAGAAATGACAAAGTTCTTCTGGATGTTTACCCTCGAAGGGCAAGGAACACTGGAACCCATGATGGGGGGCAAATCAAAATATACCTGGGTCACTACTTTACCTCAAAGGCTTGTTCGGTGCCATAGCAGGACAGGATGCTCCAATAATTCTTCCCACAATGCAGTTAAAGTAAAATCAATACATAGACAATAACATTGTGATGATGAACAAATTGTTTTTACATATTACATTGTAACTTAGAGCAAAAAGTGTATGGAGTAATAAATTCTGTTTCTAAAATTTTGATTGCAAATTACTTTAACATAGAAATTAAAATAACTTGTAACGTAACGGGATAAAGGACCAAACATTAGGTAAATGAATTAATTTACTATGGCCGGCAAAAGGTGTTATACCATCGAGAGGTCTCGTGACGCCTTCGTGACCAAGTTCAAAAGCTGTTCAATGATATTGTCATTTAGACAAAAAATGTTGCTGTATGTAGCCGTTTAATCCATGATAGCTCGCATGTTTTACAGGAATATTTTAATTGTTTATGCGATTGTCCTGGTTTTATTCTGGATTGATTGATACATATTGAAATCGTTCTAATGTTTGCATAACAGCTGGCAAATAAAGCTTTTGCATTGGTTGGGTCCACCGCTTTAGATGTGTTTGTTTAGAAAATCCACGTCCTGCTTGTCATAGACATACGTATTAAAAACCACATTTAGGTTTTGTTCATGTTATCAGGTAATCAATGAATTGAAGTTCATTTATTCAATAAATTATTGTGATTTCTTATTGTGATTTATTTGCTTCATTTTATCAGAGTTAAGGGCTATTTTAAATTTATATTTATCACTGCCACATTATGTTTGAAGATTTAACACGAATGGACAATACAAAATTTCGGAAAACTTAATATTTATCGGTACTGCGCTTGGATAGGTACATTCAGTAGTGTCCATGCGCCTGTTTCATCAAAAAAAGTACCGGTATTTATTTATTAATGGTGTTGTTTTTTTTTTTTTTGTTATTTAGGGAATTTGAAGTTGATGGAAGATCTTTGATCATTTCTGTTAATTCTATTCTCATTTTTCGTTGACCCAGGGCGATTTTCAGCATGGCATACTGTATAGATCTTTAACTTTGTTGACAGTGTGTTGACCTCTGGATGACTTGTTTTTGTGTCATTGGATTCCTGTCTCATTGACATGTTTTCCAATCTGAATTAATTCATTTTGCACTGTCCGTTCTATTGACGATACCAGCATAACTGAATAGAATTTGAATTGTAATGCTTATGTTATTACTTTCAAATTAAATATTGTATACACTACATCACAATGAAATTATGTGAAAAATAGATCTTAAGCAATTATTATAAAATTTGTAATTTTTTTTTTTAATATCATTATTATTTGAGATTGAGTCCCTCTTCAGCGTTTTCTTCATCATTTAACCTTTTTACATGACTGTAAGATACCATCAGATATAACATTATTTTAATTTTGAAAGCAGCTTAGTTATTATCTTTTTGTAGATCTTGTCATATTCCCAATGTCAAACATCACCTATTGATTACCGACATCTTTGTTAAAACAATAATCTCAAGATAATGAAATAGACTTTATTTAATATGTAGGCACGGATATTACGCAGTTATACAATGTCATTACATCAAAGGAAATGAAAAAGTGGTCCAGGTTATTAACTAAAGTAACTTAATGTTAACAGTTCTCATTGCAA